GCAAAGCTTTGTAACTAATTAAACACGTCTTTTTTTCCTTTTGCGCCGTTGCTTCTTCTTGATTTGCACTAGGCTTGGAAGATAAAAAGAGGAGACAAGTGGAAGAGGAACCTCCTGCCGCCTACGAGGCATACTTTGTCCGAGACTCACAGATTTGAAGCATCCGTTTTCCCCCATGACGTAAGCTGTTGGGACACGAGTGGTCTGGTTGGGCTCAAAAACAACTGCAACTTTCTTCTCCTCGTCAATGAAAAAACTCCCAGCTGTCCACATAAACTGAAAATCAAGTAATCTCGAATCCACCACCAAAAACTCACTCCACCACACTGTGTTGGGCTCAATCTTATTTGTGATCCAAATCTCTAAATACCCACGTACTTCAAACTCTTGAAAAAGTATAGCCAGCCCCTCTTCGCCTACCGGAGATAGTGCTACAGTGTCGTTGTCATCAAGAGCGTGAAACGGGAGATCCAAAGGCTTTCCAAATTTCTCACTTGTAAAATCAAAACAGAGTAAAAAATCTTCATACTCTGTTATATATGCCTCTCCTCCCATTCCTTGCAACATTATTTTCTCTCTAGGGGATTTCCCTTTAGTAAAAAAGTAAGTATTCCCTTTCAAAGTCGCACCTCGTTGATGATAATCTATTTTCCAGTCGGGGGAGACATCAAGAACCCTCCATGAGTTAGAGCTAAAATCGTAGATTTCGTACTCAACAACTTGTTTCATTACACTTGTGTCATAACCATCGAAAATCCTCAATATCTTGTGGTTATGGTTCCTGTTGTCGTATCCGATAGCATAGATGTCTAAGCTGTGGAAATTCCTTCGGGGTTTGATACACCTCTTTTGCTCCAAGTATGGGTTCCACACCACAAGGCTTGACTTGTCTTTGGTTACACATAACACTAAGCCGTCCAAGTGAAATACTTTTGATATCTCCACCTGATGAAACGAAGCTACTTCCTTTATAGATAGATCGACCAAGTGGAGATGGAATCTAACCGAACAAAGATTAGAACCCATCGTCATGAACCCTAAAAACTCATGTTGCCTTGCAACTGCTTTACCGACGATCCAGTCTTTGGATAAAGACTTCCAAGTTTTGCAAGTAGATCGCACTGCGCTCAGACAAGTTATCGGGATGCCAGTAAAGATCTTCCCTACCAATGCCGGTGGAAGATCGCATATCCTCGTCATTCTTCCTAAACACAGAGAATTAAGTAGGCGATCAAATATCAGAGGGAGTTTTCAATCAAGAGAATTTTCAATCTAGTATAATAACAGAGAATCAATTAGGCTTCTAAAATTCACAATACGTCGTCGTTATAAACAAAAAATATATAATGAATTACTCACAAATCAACATAGCAAATAATCACACGAATACTCACAATGCTCAAAGCTGAATCTGCAAATCGATAATACCAGAATATGAAGGATTTAGATTTAGGTGTATCCTTCTTATATATATTACACGTCTAACCCTAATTCAATATGGGCTTAGTATGACGGGCTTGATATAGTGTGATGATTGGGCTTGTATTCGTAGATAAAAACGTTGGGATAAAATCTTTATAGTCGATCCTCAAAAAGCAAATTCGAATTGGCGTAATGCATCACTACATTGTGGTGGTGCGTGGATCACAAGAAATCATACTGGTGAGGTTCTACTTCATGCTAGGGACGCAGTCACTTGCTCAACAAATCACATTGTGGCAGAATTATGATGTGTGATATGGGCTCTTCAAAGTCTGCGAATACCGAATGTGATGATGGGTTTAGACTGCCATGCGGCAATCAACAAAAACATCTGAGTGGCCTCGTTTGTTGCATCAAATCCACTTCCTTTTCGTTCTTGTGTTTTTGTGCTCAAATGGATTGGACCAAATTCTATAGCTCGTGCAATCTCAACACGGGATGGACGTTTCAATTCGTACCTTGCCATGGAATACTCCGGGAAGCAAGATTGTAATCTCTTTCTATCCATTGTTGATGGTTCTGAGTTTCAGTATGCTTCTTTTCTTTTGTTTCGAGCCTTGGTTTTTGTCCTCATGTGGCCCTGTTTCGAGGCTTCACTTTTCTTATCAATTCAGCAACAAAGTCGATTAAAATAAAAAAAGCAAATTATCGACAACATCACATACTTTAAACACAAAGCCCAAAGCCGTATGCCAAATGGTTCCTCATAAGAATCATGATACTTGAGACACACATCGTCTAAACCTGAAGAAAATTATTTCTTCCTTAAAGAAGATATCGATTTTGCTCTTTCTACTTTTCTTTCTCTCGGTCGAGAGAAACACTAAGTAGAAGATACCGCTGATCGCACCGTTAATTTCCAAACGACAATTTCAAAAACTATTTAGATATAATCTTAGTGATGTGGGGTTGTCAAGTTAATTTTAGACATTTGGATTTGTAACACTTCTAATAAGATAGTATGATTTTCTAATGAAAAGTGCTACGGTTTCTTTGTTCGAAGAAGAAACCGTGAAGCTTTCAATGGAGATAGCTTGTAATTGTTTGAAGAATGTTTACAGTACCTTTCTTGGAGTTGAAGATACCTTCAGGTTACTAGACTGTAAAGTCGAGTCATATTCACATCTAGATTTTATGATTTCGTCTTCAAAATCTCACATCTTAGGATATTAAAAAGGAATCGGAACGTTACTTCCACACGTTTTTGACTCATAATTTGGAAAACTATAAGGAAATCTCTGTGGAGGAACTCCGTAATTTACTTCAATTCGAGTGCACTGATGTGGATGATGTAATGCTACAACGGCAAGTGACAGAGAAAGAGATACAAGATGCATTATTTGCAATGCCGGGTAATT